TCCCCCCCCCCCCAACCCCTCCCCCCCCACCCCTGGACCCACCGTGACGTGCTCGAAGTCCTGGCCCAGCTCAGGGGACCCGGCCACCACCTCCTTCTCTGCAATCCAGTGCTCCAGCTCATCCACCTCCCGGTTGAGCTGGTAGAGCCAATATTGCTGCTCCAACTTCACCTTCCTCTCCTCCACCAGGTCCTTCAAGGACACGTAGAGTCGGTCGACCTGGGACTGTCTCCTGCTGACCTGCTCACTGGGACAGGATGGGGGGGACAACCAGGTTGGAGAAGAACCTCCCTCCCCCCGAGGTGTTGGTCTCCCCTTCATCCCAACTTGGGTTCTTGGTGGTGTCTCCCAAAAAAAAGGAGGTTGGGAAGGTCACCAGGAGGGGTCAAGGTGGGGTCTCAGCAAGGGGATGGGTCTTCTAGAGTGGCATGATGGGGTGGATGGACATGGGGATGGGGTCTGACTTGGCTTCAGCAGCTCCTGGACATCATCCAGGAGCTCCAGCATGGAGCTCTGATGGTCTCCAGGACCAGGATGGGGATAGGACCTCCAATACAGGGCACTGATGGACTCCAGGAGCTCCAGCATGGACCATTGATGGTCTCCAGGACCAGGACTGGGATAGGACCTCCATCCTGGACCACTGATGGTGCCCAGGAGCTCCATCCTGGATCACCAAAGGCCCCATCAATGACCTGGATGAAGGGTTGGTGACCCCATCAACTGGTGACACCAAACTGGGAGGGTGGGGACACCCCGGAGTTGGGTGGAGAGGAACCTCCTGAGGTTCCCCAAGGTCAAGGGTAGGGGAGAAACAACCTCATGGACCCAGCAGAGGGTGGGGATGGAGCTGCTGGACAAGGACCTTGGGAGTCCTTGGGTGACCACGAGCCAAGAACGTGCCCTGGTGGCCAAGAAAGTTCTCCTGGAGGGCATCAAGGGAAGCACCACCAGGACGCCAAGGGAGGTTCTCCAGCCCTGGTGGGACCAGATCTGGAGAACTGGGACCAGATCTGAAGAACTGGGACCAGATCTGGGCTCCCCAGCTCAAGAAGAAGCTCCTGGAGACACAACAAAAGGGCCACCAAGATGGAACATCTACAGGGGGTTGGAGGAGATGATCTCCAGAGGTCCCTACCGAGCCTTGACCACTCTACCCAAGACCTCCAGGTGGAAGAGGTGGCCAAGGTGGTGGTTGGGGGGGGGTTGGACCCACCTCTGGGGGTGGCCCAGGTCCAGGAGGGCCCGGCACTGGCGGGACAGTTGGGCAATGGTCTCCTCGTAGTTGTCCACGGTTTGCTCGGTCTGAAGGTGCTTCTTGAGGAGCTGGAGGGTGCTCTGCTCGTCCTGGGGGTGGGGGGACACCAAGGGGGGGCTGGTGAGGACGTGGTGGTGGGGAAATGTG